TGTGTTGAGCTGGGCCCTTTGAGAATAACAAATGAGAATTTTGATTACAGAATATTTTCCTGATTTACGTTTAAACCTTATTTACCATGTTAATTGAGGGATTCTTCTTGAAAAAGAAAACTGGAAGCAACTTAAAAACACACACAGATAGCATTGCCTGGTATTCACCACAGGATTTGTCCTCCAATTTGCCACCCCAAACTCAGCTCATTTGGCTACAGACACTTGTATGTTTACACAATCCCTGCAAACAAATATCATTAACAGCCAAAAAAGCAGAACTAACCCAAATATCCACTAATAGGTGAATGAATAAAGCGTAGTCTCTTCATAAAATGGGAAATTATCCTATCTGATGAAGAGGGAATATGCTAATTGACCCTCATACCTTCACAAAGATGGTGATGCCCACAGCCAATAAGGAGGGAATATGCTAATTGACTGCCACACCCTCAAAGATGTTGGCACCCACAACCACAAGATGGTGGCACCCAGTCTCCTCAGCCCCCCATCCACCTGGGGCTGCCTGAGGATCAGATAACCAGGGCCAGCTGAGGCTTGCACTGCTGGCAGTGGCAGCAGCAGAGGTATGATGGGATGTCGCCTTTTTTGATTGCCGGGTCACCTCCCGCCCCTGGGGGCTCCCAGACTGTGAGAGGGGCAGGCTGGGCTAAGGGACCTCTCCTCCTGTGCATGAATTTTCATACACCAGGCCTCTAGTTCATTTATAAAAAGGAAGTACTGATAAATACTACAACATGGATGGACCTAGAAAACATGCCGAGTAAAAGAAGCTAGTCACAAAATACCATGTACTACAAGATTCCATCTATATAAAATGCCCAAATAGGCAAATCTATGAGACAGAAAGTAGATTACTAGGACTGGTTTGAGAGAGAATGAGGAAGGACTGTTAATGAGTATGGATTACCTTGGAGGAGTGTATGTGTGTGATAAAAATTAGATAGTGGTGATAATTGTACAACTTTTTGAATAAACTAAAAACCTTTGAAAAATACTCTTTAGATGGGCAAATTATATGGCATGTGAATTATATCTCAATAAAGCTGTTTTTATTTTTAAGAGTGCAATGTAGAATAAAAATGGAAGTTTAAAATAAAGAGGATCAACTTTCAAAGTAAACTTGAGGTAGCAAAATAGAGAGTGTAATATTTCTATATTTAGCTTTGATATTCTAAGAGCCTCAACTTGCAAGATTATACTTAGCATTCCATCCTGAGACATAGATATTATGCCCTTTCTTCACAAGAACCACCTTTAGCTTGGCCTGTGTGTCTCAAAGGTTGAGTATCAACCTATGAACCAGGAGGTCACAGGTTTGATTCCCGGTCAAGGCCCAATTTCAGGCTCTGTCCCTAATGGGGGGCGTGCAGGAGCCAGCGAATCAATGAGTCTCTATCAACATTGATGTTTCTCTCTCTCTCTCCCTTCCTCCCTGAATCCATAAAAATATACCTTAAAAAAGAACCATCTTTATTGCTTTTATTTTAAAAATGCATAATGTATTTAAAGTACATTAAAAATTAGAGTCCCTTATTTACATTTTATGTGGTGTCCCAAAAGTGTTTTAAGAGAATAATAGTTTTCTCTTGCTACAGGTGCCAGCAATATAATGTTCCTCACAAGTATAATAGTTGGGTGTCCAAGCTGTGAGATCAGACTGCCTGAACTCTTTCAGGCAATGTGAATTTGGGAGACGTTCTTTTTTAAAAATATATTTTATTGATTTTTTACAGAGAGATAGAGAGTCAGAAACATCGATGAGAGAGAAACATCCATCAGCTGCCTCCTGCACACCCCTCACTGGGGATGTGCCTGCAACCAAGGCACATTCCCTTGACCGGAATCGAACCTGGGACCCCTCAGTCCTCAGGCCAGCGCTCTATCCACTGAGCCAAACCTGTTTCGGCTGGGAGAGGTTCTTAATCTCAGTCTTCCTATCTGTAAAGGGGAAGTAGAGATACTAATACTATTATACTTATTTCATAATGTTGTTCTGAGAATTAAAGAAAAAAAATGCATGTAAAGTATCTAGCACAGTGTTAAGTTTATAATAAAGGCTTAAATTATACTTGTTAGTAATTATGATTAAAATATAGTAACAGTAATAGAGAATTGAGGTTATTAAGAAATGGGCGAAAACAAGTTGTAATGTAGTTAAAAACTGAGTATTAGCATCCTAAAGGGAAGTAAGGGTTGCAAGGAGGTATAATATTGTTGTTCAGTTCCATAACCATTAAGCAAACATATTGGATATTTAATCAAGATATTTGAATAGTTCTCAGAATTTACTGTTTTGAGAGCATGTTATAGGTCAAGGTTGTGAAATTGTGTATTTTTCAGAGAACAGTATGTGATTTAAGCTTGCTAAAGAAAGCTTGCTACATTTCTCATCAGTGGTACAACTTGTCACTTTACAATACATGCCTTTAATTTGAATAAGTCTGCCATGAAGTCTCCTTTCTTCCTCCCTTAGGTTTATTCACCGATATTATTTTCTAATGAAAGTAGCAGGGACATTTAAATACTTTTTAAAACTATTTTAACTTCTTAGGAGAAAGGAAACTTTGGTGAAAATAGTTTCTTATACGATAACTAGAGGCCCAATGCCCAGCTTCATACAGAAGGTCATACGGATGGTCATTCCGTTGTTGGGCCATTCGGTCAATATTAGGCTTTTATTACTATAGATGATTTATTTGAGATGTAAAAGAATTATCATTTTGAAATTTATTTGTATACTTTAAAAATGGTCTTTAAAAATTTCCTGGATTAACCAAAACTCCATGAAAGAAGAAAGGGAAAGAAGGAATTTGAAAGTGCTTACAAGTTTTTCTTCCTTCTCCCAAATTTTATTCATATTTTTATGCCGTAGTAATAGGTAAATCCTCTAAGTCTAAAGAGCATTAAGTGAACCTCATAAATTCATAGCCATACAATCCCTCTATGTGTAGCTTAGATTGAAACATTATTATTAGGGCTTGGTGATCATAAAAATCTATTTGAAGAAACCAGGGATCTGTACATAGGATAAAAATGAATATGAACAGGCCAGCCCCACTGCCCAAGATTATGGCAGAAGAAGGTAAGTTACTTAGTCCCTTTGTGCTTCATTTTCCTTCCCTTAGAAATACAAGAGTTGATGAGAGGATGAAGTGAGATCACACATGTAAAGTATACTGAGCACATCAAGTTTTTGCTCTTAATATTGTGTCAGTGGCCAGAAAGAGGTAAGTTGTAGCATATATCTCAAAGATGCAGCTATTAACAACCCTTGGTAAAAAGAAAATATTTTTAAAGCATGGAGATCTTCCAAATTGCATTTAAGCTATTTTCAAAGGTGCTTGAAGAATGTGGAAAAAACCTCATTATCTTTTATCTTGGTAGGATCCACAAGAGCCAGAGCTTATATCGATAGAAGGGAGTGGGGTGTGCGTGTGAAAAGGGAGTGTGTGTGGCAGGGACTGAGACCACAGGGAAATAGGTGACTTTGAGGAGTGGGGGCTGGACTTAGAAAAAAGAAAGCCACCAGGCTTGCTGCCACATGCCTGAAATGTGATTCTGTCTTTTATTTTCTCTGGCAGGGAACTGATTTAAAATCTGCCCAGAAATTAATAAGGTCACATTCAGCCAGGCTACTCACTTTGCCTGATGTGCCAACAATATTTAAATCGTATTAAATACTGGAAATTAAGAATTGACTGACTTCTATCGGAAGGCAGAGTTTGGATGAAGGCGTTGATGTAAACAGTCTCCTGGTGGAGTTAGAAACTGGCTTTAACTCCTGGCACTACCATTTCAACAGAGGTGTGAACTTGATAAGTCATTTCACCTCTGAAATGGTTTCATCATCTGTGAAAAGGGAAAAGCACCTACCTAAAAAGCATCTACCTTGTCCTGGTTAAGGCTATTCACAGCACCTGGAACATAAGAGGTGCATTTTCTATTATATTTTGTGCTAATGGAAAAAAAATTTAAAAACTAGGATGATATACTTAAACACTTAGCGTCACCAAATATGCTTGAATATGCATTGACACTCAATTACCTTCACAGACGTTGATAGTCTCAACTAATAAGCATTAATTATGCGACAAGTCGCTGACATTTTCCTCTCCTACTTGTACCGCTCAGCACACCGCACGCTCAGATGCTATAAAATGTTAATTCTTGAGCACGTTTTACTAACACCTAATCCTTGGCTTGCTGGAAACGAGTGGACCACGGACTGGAGAAAAGCGTTTCTGCAGGCTTGCCCAGGGTCTAGCGATTGCTGCCCTGTAAGGAGTTAATCGCAAAACCGCGTTTCTCACCCAGGAAAGGCGCGCAACCCTACTCCCACGTGACAGTTGTCCTTTTAATAATTCTGCTCTGCAAGCTCACGTCTCAGAGAGAAGCAGGTTCTGCGTCACGTTAAATACTGTCGATTCGTAATTAGGGATTCAGGAGGAGGGCGACTCCAGCAACTATGCAGCGAGGGACTTAAAATTGAAACAGGTCGGGTCCTGCCTGGGTGAGGCCGGGGAGGCACCTCGGCGGTCCCCCGCCGGCCCCGGAAGTTTGAGAGTCTCCAGCCGTAAGACCTGGGAGTCACCTTGACCCCTCCCGGAGTGGTGGAGAAAGTTGGCCTTGGGCCAGAGACCGGGGGAGGAAAACCAAAGATAGAACACTTTCGGGAGCAAAACACGCAGTCACGTTTTCCTGTTTTCAGCACAGCTCGAGACTCCGAGACTGGAAGGGTGGCGGGAGCAGGTGGCAGGACTCCGCCCACCGCCGCATTTTCCCCTCCCTCACCTCGCACGCCCCGACTCCCTCCGCGCAGTCGGGACTCCCAGGCGCGCGCGAAGAGTTGTCGCGCTGTGCATCCTGGGAATTAGAGTCCCGGTGTCGGGAACCGTCTCGGGAAAAGCCACTCTGGCCTACATACCCCATGATGCCCCGCGGCGCCGGCCGCTCCCGGATGTGTGCCTGGCACCGGAAGAGAAGACGGCCCCCCCTCTCTCGGCCCGGCCATCTTGTGGGAAGAGCTGAAGCAGGCGCTCTTGGCTCGGCGCGGCCCGCTGCAATCCGTGGAGGAACGCGCCGCCGAGCCACCATCATGCCTGGGCATTTACAGGAAGGCTTCGGCTGCGTGGTCACCAACCGATTCGACCAGTTATTTGACGACGAATCGGACCCCTTCGAGGTGTTGAAGGCAGCAGAGAACAAGAAAAAAGAAGCCGGCGGGGGCGGTGTTGGGGGCCCCGGGGCTAAGAGCGCAGCTCAGGCCGCAGCCCAGACCAACTCCAATGCGGCAGGCAAACAGCTGCGCAAAGAGTCCCAGAAAGAACGCAAGAACCCGCTGCCGTCCAACGTCGGCGTGGCTGACAAGAAAGAGGAGACGCAGCCTCCCGTGCCGCTTAAGAAAGAAGGTAAGTCCGCGGTGGAAGGTGGGCAAGACCCGGCGTGAGGGAAAGGAGCGGGGCAGGACCGCGGCCACCGCTTGCTCCACGGGCTCCGAGCGTCCGCGGGAGGTTCTGCCGCGATTTTTCTCCCGCTGCCGCCACAGGACCGAAGCCCGGTCCGGCGGGTGAGCCCGGGGAGCCTTGCGTTCAAACCCCCTCCTGCAGGCTTCCCGCCTCGGGCTGCGGGCGGGAGCTGCGCGGCCCGGCGGCGAGCCGCCCTGCGCCTTCCCGCCGGATCCCGCCGCGGCTGTTGGCCCGAGGTTCCCGGGAAGCGTGGGGTCCCCGGCGCCCTCCCGCTCAGAGCTCCCTTTCTCTCTCTCAGTGCTGCTCCGAGGTGCGGTAGTCTGGTTTAGGCTGCTGTCCTGCCATCTTGTCCCACGATGGTGCGGGGGGGTGGGGGCGCCCTGTGAGAAGCTGGGGGTCGGGTAACTGCGGAGGAATCTACCTGCTTTAGGTGCCTCATGCGCCTCATGGAACACCCCTCCACACACACACACACAGACACCCTCTCCACTATTTCAAACTTAGCGAGTTGCTAGAGGGAAGGGGACACATTGGGCTGCACTCGGTGACGCAGCCGCGGGGATTCTGAATGGAGAGTGGCTCTTCCTGGGAGCCCCGAGGGTCGTCCTCTCGTCGCGACTCTTTCTCCGGCCCCCGCAGCCCGCGGTGCCGGCGGGGTGGCCGGCCCGGGCCTCGTGGTGCGGGGAGCGCGCAGGCTGTCACGTTGGTCCCGGCAGAAGCGGGAGCCTCTGCGCGCAGCTCGGTCTCCACACGTGCGGGCGGCGTGGTCGGCGTCTCATTGGCGGCGGCGGGAGCTGCTTCCAGGTCACGCCGGACACTTCACCGGAGTGTGTGAGGCGTCAGTTTTTTTCTGCGTTCTCACGCATCGCCTGCTTGTCTTTTGTGGTCAATGGAGAAAGCAAAGCAGTTGGGGGGGCAAGAAAAGCACACGGGATCCATTGCAAATAGCCAAGCTCCGCGAGTCGTGGTTGGTTTTCTGCATTGGTTGAAATTTCGCTTTGCTGCCGCCACGTGCTCCGGAAAGGAGTTGTTTCTCATTAGCTTTAGGTTGGATTCGTTAGCATTCAACTGATTTTAAAACACGTGTATTATATTTTGGGCTTAGGGTTTTGGTGGTGTGGGTTTTTTTGTTGTTTTGTTTTGTTTTCTTAACTTATGTGAGGTTTTGACATGGAGAACTAGGCGGTGAGTAAAACAAAAGTATTCCTGTACTAAAATTACAGGTTGGGGGAAGCACAAGTTGTGTTAGAAAGCATGTGTACACCGAGTAAGCCAAACACCTGTTTTGTCAACTAAGAAGACTAGGGCAACCTGTAGCACAACTGAATAAATCGTTTAATTTCTGTGTTAAGGAACACTCGCTTGAATAGCTTGTGTAATTATTTAAACTACTCATCTTTACCTCTTTGATCAGAGTAATCCCAAGAAAGCACAAGAAAAAAATTGAGTCGGAAGTGTAAATCTAAAATGTGCAAGGTAGGTGTGTGCACCCGTTTTGAACGTTCAAAGGATGAAGCATGTTTGAAATCCCTCAGTTGTTTTGATCATAAAACCCATATCTGAAATAAGCTCTTACCTGGAAACTAGTATTTTAAGTTACAAAGGTAGGGAATTGCTTCATAAATTTATAATTCAGAAGTCTTCGGGAAATCTCCCATATTAACTATCAACATTTTCCTTAGGTCAGTATTTCAGGGCACTCCTAACTTTAAATTGCATAAAACAAATTTATAAATAAAGGGAAAATGTTGAATGAAAAATACTCATTTTGAGATCCTGTTGTCAGTTGATGTGGTCAGTGTGAAGGGGACTTACAAAGTCTTCCTCCAGTAGTGGGAAGGATAGTTAGCCTGATCATGTGTTCTGTGCTTTTGAAGAAAGATCCTGGTACAGCGCTAGACTACCCTAGATATATAATGTTCATATTATAAGAATTAGCTTTATAGCTAATCTTTTGTAAGTTTGAAGAACTTGAGAATTGTCACCACAGACTACCACTGAGTATAGACCAATGTGATTTTTTTTTTGTTTTTAATTAAAAGCCTGTTATCTAGTGAATATCAAGAGAAGCATGCATTTTTAAATGTCTATTGGGTGAATATATTTGGTAAGTTTTTTAGATTCTGTAAGCCTAATAATGAATATTGGGTGGGGAAATAAGCCATTGTTCATTTGGGTGTGTTTGGCTTGGATATCATTGTAAAGACTGGTTCCAAGCTCCACCCCATACACCTTGAGCTCTGATGAAATTTGTTTAAAATGCTGTGGTGTACGATCTAACAATGTGCCCATACTGAGCGTTTATGTGGAATGGACTTTAAAATTTTATCAAAGAGTCAAGCACCTGAACAATTGGATGAGTCTTGATTGTGTTCCACTTTCTTAGAAAGAACCAGGGTAAATCTACTTAAGATCTTGTTATAAAAACAGTTCCTTGGCTGCTGTTTGGTTTTGTTAGAAATTGTGGTTTGGGAATTATGGCATACCTGGAATTTTACAGACATGAGTTTAACCATCAATCTAGTTCTTCTTAAGACCACCAGTAATGCATATTGATTGCTTCTTGGCATTAGATACTAACAGGGTAAATGCACTGGTAAGAACAAACCAAAAGAAATGTTCTCCATTCATAATAGCAAAATATCGAGTATTTTAGAGATTGCGTAAGAGTTTTTCTGTTAGGTATAGTGTGTATAATAAAACGTGTAGAAACTAACAGAGGAGGTACTTTTTTTCTGGTTAAATAGCTATTTCAAACTGTGGCTATGTAATCATAGATGCTATTTGTTTTCCTTTCAATTTTGTAATTTCATAGAATTACCAGTCTTTTTTTTTTCTTTTTTCTTTTTTTCCCCCCTAACTCTCGAGGTTGTTGTTTTTTCCTCCTCCAGATTACATAAACTAAAAGTGTGGCCTTTAAAAAAAATTTTTTTAAGGTCTTTATCTGTTCAATGAATGTATATGGATTTTCTTGGTTATTATTTATGAATGGCTGCTGTTGTTATCTTTGGTATGTTTAAAGCCCAAATGTATCATTTGCCTAAAATTTCTTTAAATTTAGAATTTTATAGTAAGAGACTGGCATTTTAAAAAGTCAGAGGAATAATGGCTGCCTACCCAGTTAACTTCCAAGTCAGTTGCTGAGGATGCTCTTAGGGGGTGAAAGTGACTTGGCAAACTAGATAGAAGTTTGAAGTACTTTGTTCCATTTTAGATATGCCCAGTGTTTGCCTTTTTAACAGTATGTGCTAGCTAGGGACCTGAAGATTAACAATGTACCTTTTTTTTAAGTCTGGGCTTAAATTTTTTGAATTGCAAAAATAATTTGCTTAATGCTGGTTATTTATCATTTTAGGAATAAGACGTGTTGGAAGAAGACCTGATCAACAACTTCAAGGTGAAGGGAAAATAATTGATAGGAGACCAGAACGGCGACCACCTCGTGAAAGACGATTTGAAAAGCCACTTGAAGAAAAGGGTGAAGGAGGAGAATTTTCAGTTGATAGGCAAGATTTTTTTCAAATCTCTTAATGTTTTGTCAGTTTATAGTCTCAATACAAAGCTATAAATTGGTAATAATTGTTTGCAGTGTGTCTTATGTTTATCAGTTTTTCAAAGAAACATCTGAATTGTTATTTCAATAGCAGTTTTTAGTGTTCAACCTTAGGTTCCTTTTAGCGAAACAATTAGTAGTTGAATTGATAGACAGTTTCTTTTTCTTGCTATCCCCAGATGTTAACAGGAAAGTTCTGTTGTATTGTTTATAGCAAAGCAGATTACTCATTATGCAGGTTAGATTTGTTTATTTTAATTATTAAATGTATTTATGAATAGTAGTTTTATTAGATTATTACGTAAAATGAATAACAAAAAGAATGCACTAATAAGTTTTAAATTATATAAAATTAGTGTTCTTGTGGTGGGAGTAGCTTCCTAGTTTTTATTTCCTTTATGTGTGTAGAAATAGGTTGTTTTGAATTTTCTAAAACATGGTTTAACTGTTGACTTATGAGCCAATAAATATATTCCTGTATTTTTGAGTCTTTGAATGAATTTCCCTATTTTTTCTGGAAACCTGGGATGTATATAATCTTTATTTGTTGTAGACCGATTATTGACCGGCCTATCCGAGGCCGGGGTGGTCTTGGAAGAGGTCGAGGCGGACGTGGACGAGGAATGGGCCGAGGAGATGGATTTGACTCTCGTGGCAAACGTGAATTTGATAGGCATAGTGGAAGTGATAGATCGTAAGTCTTATATTGGTTTTTATTTGAGTCTATTTTTTTTAATAAAACAAACTTTGAATTGCTAGAATCAAAGAGTATTATGTTAACTCAGTTTTGTTAGTTCTTTCTCACATTACAGTGGCCTGAAGCACGAGGACAAACGTGGAGGTAGCGGATCTCACAACTGGGGAACTGTCAAAGATGAATTAACGTTGGTATTCTGATTTTTAAAAATAATTTTTATAAAATTGATCCTATATCTTTTTAGAGGCTCACTCATAACGCTTAAATATTATTTGTCTCTGGGACAAGAATGTAATAGCTTTTATTGCTAATATCTTATATATCTTTGATACAAGATAACCTCTTGTTGGCTATATTTATATTATAGTTGTATCAAGCGACCAATTTTCAGTATATGTGATAATCGGTTTTTCTTTTCATATGGATATATAGCTTTTTTCTGAAACCCTGCATTGAAGTGTTTGGGTATTCTTATTCTATGTCTTTAATAGTTTGTAGCTATTGACCCTTGTGGTTATTAGAAAAATTTGATAAGCAAGTGAGGCACTATTTTAAAACTTAACTTCTGTTACTTTTTGAGTAAAGTACTATAATTTGGATCAATATACATTTTTTAAATTATTTCCTCTTAAAGGTCTTCTAGAGTATACATTTAGTAGGGAAAGACTCTTACTTGGGGATTGTGAGGATTTTAAAATGTTTTTGTGTAATGAATTCTTCAGTTACATGTAAATGGACCTAGATGCCTTTCTTTTTCTTTCCTTAGAGAGTCCCCAAAATACATTCAGAAACAAATATCTTATAATTGCAGTGACTTGGAGCAACCAAATGTGACTGAGGAAACACCTGAAGGTGAAGAACATCCAGTTGCAGACACTGAAAATAAGTAAGTTGTTTTATGTATAATGGTAAGGCTCTGTCCGTGAAATCAATTTGGATTTTTACCAAGAAAACTTACAGGTTTAATTCTGTTACTTGATGGCTTTTTAACAGAAGAGATTTTCATGGTACCCCAATTCATCAAGTAGTGTTCATATAGAGGAGTGTTTTATACATGTATATATTGGTATATTGGGCTCTAGTGATTTAAAAAATAGAAATGGTATTAATATTTAAAATAACAATTGTTGTCTTAAAAAAAAAAATAAGGGAAGATAGTAAGACCTGCTAGCCCCGAGCACAAAAATTAACTGTTGTAACCTCAAAATAGAGAATAGGAATGAGATGCTATGCATTTTACCGAACCTTACTTGATAGAGATAATGGTAATAGATATATAAATAATGGATAATTCAACTGATAGCTGTCCAAAGACATCAAATAGGTGAGAACTAGAATCTGAAATTTGGAAGCTACTAAAAATTAGACCAAATGGTTGAAATAAGAGAAGTTGTAGTATTTAGAACTCATATTTCAAAGTACTTTGGACTCTAACTGCAGGTTTTATCTTGAAACAGTTTAATACTAGGAAACATGAATACATTAAAATTCCGCCTCTTTGAAATTTATTTTCCATCAACATTGAATTTGGAACATAGTATTATTGACTTGCTTTAAAATATATGAGAGCAAATGCCAGAATATGTTATTCACTAGCTTTCTTAATCATTTTTATTGTCTCTGTGAGAGTCTTTAGGTAGAAAACCTGCTTTTGAAGTTTTTGTTTATTCAAGGGTGAGAGAGTTTTAAAGTTTCAAGTTAGGCTGGTAAAAATAATTTAATACCTTTCTCTAGTTTCCATCAATCAAAGCAAAAATTATATTATAAATTTCTTACGGTATTGTGGTTTAAAGTTTTGTATTATAGGTTACTTAGGTCTAATTCTTAACTGGGGCATATTCAAATCAATCAAGGAGGAGATGCTTTTCTAAGCTTCGAGTTTTCTTAAAGAATTGCTCTTATAGTGAATTATTACTAATGATTAAGGGTATCATATTCCATGGGTTTATTGGAATAAGAAATAATACATTTGCTTTTATTGGTGACAGTAGAAAAAAATGCATGATGTTGAATGATGTGTTGAACTTAGATAAATTTATTTATATGAAACTATATAGAATAATTTTATTTGGTAAACAGTGAAATTGTGGATGAGTTAAATGAGCCTTATGTAATATTGAGTGCTTCACAATGCCAATACAACCATTCTTTAATAAAGAGCCTATATTTAAATAACCGTAAGTGTGACCTGCAAAGATTATAAATGTCTACCAGAAGGAAATCATACATTATTGATAGGGTATTGGAAGCAAATCCTTAATTCAGGACCCAGGCATGAAATTGAGGGTATTTGGTCTAAAGAAGATTATGATGATGGTATTAAGAGAGGTTTCCAGAGTGGAGAGAATCTAAACATAGTACTGTATCTTGAATATGGAAATACACATTTATAAAGCAGTGCTTGGCTGACTTTGATTCCCTTATATATAGTTTCCAGAGTGTGTGTTTTGTCTCACTTGATCCTTACAACAATCCTTGAAGGTAGGTGTCCTGGTTCCATGGGACAAAATGTGATGAGTTACGTTACATTCGTCGCTGTGCCACAACTTAGTAACTAGGACTTTTTAGCTTTCTCATCTGTAAACTGACAGCTGGACCTCATATCCAAATCTCATCAATTCAATGTAAGCTTTAAAATTGTAAGGTAGGGATTAGTCAGACTACAGAGTAGCATAGAAGAGGGAGCTATTTGAGCTCTAAGGCTAACTGGAACATCTGCTATCTTTGGAAAGAAGCAGAGCTGCCAAAATAGCAAACAACTTGTTTGATGACAATTGGAAATTGATACTAGATTAAAATAATGGACTTCTAGGCTTTCTTTCTGCAAAAATGGAAATTCATAATATATAATACATTTGGGAATAACTAATTCATTATTAAGTATTGAAACCAATATGTTTTGTGAAGAGTTTTATTTCTAGTGAAACCTCAGTTTACCTGCCCACACTCAGGTTGGTTTGAAAGTTGGCATATATAGAATCCAGGATTTTAACTTGGCTTTTAAAGATTCTTTTTTTTTTTTTTTTTCCCATCAGCATTATCCTAAAATAAAGGATAAAGGAACAGTTCTTTTTATATTTAGAATGTGAAGTGTGGTTCACAGGCATTCTAGATGATATAACATGTTATAAGTTATGTATTGTGGAAAATTAAAAATGTTTTAGGAGAAGTTAGGCCAAATATTTTAATTATGTAATAGTACGGCTTTAAGAGAAAGGAGTGTTTTAAGAAATATGTGTTAGCCCCAGTGGGGAGGCTTGTTTGGAGCATCATCCCATGCACCAAGGAGGTAGCGGGCTTGATTTTCCGTCAGGGCACGTGCATAACGTCACAGGTTCAATCCCAATTGGAGCGTGTATGGGAGGCAACCAATTGATGTTTCTCTTTATGTTTGGTAAATCCAATTTCAGGTTGTAGTACTGATAGATGAGCATTTAAAAGTTTATGAATTGTATTTTTTTACTTATCCATATTTACCTTTTTAAAAAATGTATTTTTTTATTGATTTTTTTTTTTTTTTTTTTTTTTTAATAGGAAGAGGGATAGAAAGCTAGAAACATCGATGAGAGAAAAGCATCCACCAGCTGCCTCTTGCACACCACCTACCGGGGATGTGCATCAAACCTGGGACTTTTCAGTCCACAGATCGATGCTCCATCCACTGAGCCAAACCGGTTTCGGCAACTTATCCATACTTTGACTAATACAACAAGCATTGACTACCTGGTGTCTGCCAAATTAATGTTAGCCATTGGGTTACAAAAATTATGATCCTTCCATCCTTGGATAATTTTCCCTAAAAGATAGATTAACAAGATTTAACTTCTTATAAGTAACATTTTTGTCAGCCACTTTGTAGATATAAAATTTAAACATCTTTTCACAGGGAAAACGAAGTTGAAGAAGTAAAGGAAGAGGGTCCAAAAGAAATGACTTTGGATGAGTGGAAGGCTATTCAAAATAAGGACCGGGCAAAAGTAGAATTTAATATACGGAAACCAAATGAAGGTGCTGATGGTCAGTGGAAGAAGGGATTTGTTCTTCATAAGTCAAAGAGTGAAGAGGTAAAATTAATATTTGTGGTATTTGAAAATTTTTGGGTGTGTCTTGACAATTCAACACATAATATTTTTTATAATCTTTATAAAAAAAGCTGTACATAGTGTCATTGGATTAGGTAAATTGTTCAAAAAAGAAAATAAACTACATTATCAAATAAACGCATATTTTAAGAAATTTAGTCCTATCTGTTGCTATATTCAATCTGGTAGCCCCCCTCCACCTTCAGAAGCTGTTAGTCAATATATATATCTTACAATTACTATATTTTATAAATAGAGTAGGTCTTTTCAAAGTTGTGATGATATTTTTAAAAATCATGCCTAAATTCAAGGACTTGTATTAGATTGGAAGGTTGGCATTTTCATGTGGCTTAACCTACAATAAAATGAGTGCATTTATACAGTATTTAATACTTGAAACTGCCTATGTCATATTCTAATGGTCAGGACTCTTCAATAAATGGTACTACCCTTTATTGAGGAATGAGGTAAGACCAGAAAATTAATATTGGTTTCCTTTACTTACAAAACATGGGAACTAACGAGAAAGATATGTTGGTGGCTTTTGTTTTGACATTTTCTGCTTAAGCCTTGGGGCACATTCTTAGAGGAATGTCCCATTGCTACATCCTTTTAGAGCTTGTGTAAGTATGAGATTTTAGTCATAAAGTTAAAATGTTAAGAAGGCAACCTGTAATAAAAAAATGCAATAAGATCTTAATATATTTTAATTTTCTTTTAAAAATAGTTGTGAAGCAAGCTTGGAAACATTTTAAATGAAATAGGTTGAAGAATTTTAAATACTTTTCTATATTTAGAGGTGTTTTTTAAAAACACTATAAAATTAGTATAAATGAGGACATTGTCTTTTAAGTGTCAAGTCATAGAATAAAAAGTTTTCATTTAGAACATGTGGTTATTTTTTCATAGTGCTTGCAGATACAGTTGTTTCGTATGTCTGGGTAAAACAAATAGGATTTCAGATTAAAGAACTTCGAAAGTTCTCCTTGGGGAGATTGTTGCACTAATTATTAAACTACTTAGGTTAATATGAGAAAGATTTATTGGGCACCTTTGAGACAATTATTTGTAAATTAAATGAGGTCCTGACAGAATTTTTCTCTACAACAAGACACACACAAAATTGTGATTTAATTTTAGAGAAGTCAGTAATACCCTGAATACTCTTCATGTATTTTATTGACTAGGTTAGGTTATCATAATTTTAAGTATTTTCTAGGGTGCTTTTCAGAAATAATTATACAAGGTGATGTATATGATTAGATATTTTTGAAACTATAAAATGTGAAATTTGTTATGAATAACTTTGAAACCAATACATTTTCACTATCAACACACGTTCATATGCTTTGACAATTTATTCTACTAGTTACTCAAAGGTTAGGGATGTGTCCTCAATATTCAGACTTTATATTATAGTAAAATCTTTTAGATTGTTTCAGTAGAATATCAACTTGGACTTTTTTTTGTTTCTGTGCTCTAGAAAATTGTACAAGCTTCTGATTAATAGATTGAGATTCTTTGCAATAGCAAACATTTAAAAGTTAGACAATTAGTATATATAATTGACTTTAATTTGCCAGCAATTTTGTGGACTTACATATCTTTTAGGCTTCTTTACAAAGCCTTTTATTGCCTTTAAATTAGGTTGGTCTGACACTTAATCCCATATTAAATGATTAAAGGGATGAAAGCATGGATAGAAATACATTTATTTGTACTTTAAGGGTAGTTATTAACAATTCTAATATGATATTTAGAAAGAACAAAATTTTTGTATTTCTCCAGAAAAGTGTGTGTGTGTGTGTGTGTGTGTGTGTGTGTATATGTGTATGTGTGTGAGTGTGTGTGTGAAGTCAGATATTAAGCAGTATAAAATTCTCTGGTGTTTTTGTTTGTTTGTTGCAGACTGGGTCATGTAGCTTATGATGTAAATACAAAGTATAGGATCTGGATTTCACAAACATGACTTTTCATTTTTAAGATTGTTCCTTTGATATGTTTTATTTGGGTGCAGCTTTTCAAGGTTCCCTTATGTAAAGTTGTGATTTGCTTAAGTCTGTAGCTCTCCTATTTATATGAAAGAACAATATAAAAGTTGTACATGAACAGAAGTCTGTACACAATTTCTTAACTCATGGTTGGAAGAATATAGCGTAAAGTTTTCTTTACAACTTATAAAGAGATTCCGTATTATCAATAATAGGAACCTTTATCCATGTCTTTATCAGGGGTTCCTTGATGGGAATTCTAATCTGAAAGGCATGTTTTAAATGTACTGGTAAAGATAATGATTCATTAGGTTTGAGATGAGGCCCAGTCCCTTGAGTGGTTGTGATTAGATACCTTTAATTGAGACTTGTATCGCCTGTAATTTTTTTTTTAAGTATACTTATCTGCTCCCTCCTGCGTCCACCCTCTCCCCTCCCACTGGGTATTAAGCCTGCAAACCAGGCATGTGCCCTGACTGACCAGGAATGAAACCATGACCTCCTGGTTCATAGGTTGATGATCAATTGCAAGGCCCAGAGGAAAGCTCATTCTAAAATTTGCAGCAGCATTTTCCTAGTAATCATCCAGTGGCCTTTACTTAAATTTTCAGGCTCACGCTGAAGATTCGGTTATGGACCATCATTTCCGGAAGCCAGCAAATGATATAACGTCTCAGCTGGAGATCAATTTTGGAGACCTTGGCCGCCCAGGACGTGGTGGCAGGGGAGGACGAGGTGGTCGTGGGCGTGGTGGACGTCCAAACCGAGGCAGCAGGACTGACAAGGTAAGTTTTAAATATTTTGTCCTTTTAAGTAAATCAAGGACCTCTTATGGTAAATTGACCGCTTAAAGTCCTTTGGGGGACATAAGTGAAAGGAAAAAAAGGTAGACCCCGGCTGTTGTCTTAATATGTCAAGGTTTTGGGTTCAGTCCCTAGTTGGGGCATATACAAGTATCAACCAATGAATGCATAAATAAGTAGAACAAGAAGTCAGTGTTTATCTGTCTCTCTCATTTCCATTCATCCCTCTACCTCTTCTCTAAAATCAATGTTAAAAAAAATTTTTTTTTTAAAGAAACAACATTTTTGGCCAAAACTGGTTTGGCTCAGTGTATAGAGCGTTGGCCTGCAGACTGAAGAGTCCCAGGTTTGATTCCGATCAAGGGCATGTACCTTAGTTGCGGGCACATCCCCTGTTTGGGGTGTGCAGAAGGCGGCTGATCTATGTTTCTCATCGATGTTTCTAGCTCTGTCCCTCTCCCTTCCTCTCTGTAAAAAATCAATAAAATACATATTTTTAAAAATAAACATTTTTGGTTATAAATTTTTAAAAAGTATTTAAATGACTAAAGAGTGTTGCCAGTAGAATTAAATTACCACACTTTATTGAATACTTAATTAGGTGCTGGTCTGATGTTAAGCTAGGCATTTTATGTGCTGTGTCATTTGATTCACGTTACTATGTGGACATCCCCATTTTACAGAGGAGGAATTCAGTACAGGAAACCAAGTTAACTCTTGGCCTTTGACAAGGTCTACCTGAAATGCTAACTTACATCCTCTGCCTTCACTGTTTTTCAGTACTCAGTTTAACATAACCTTTGTGTCTATTGTTTAATTGTGTGAATTGAAACTCATTAGATTAATGGCCTAGTGAACGCATTTTTAGTTTTTGGGTTTTGTTTTTTTTTTTTACATTGTTATGTAAGAGGTGGGATTCATTTTTGTCATCTTCAATGCCTTGCATGTAGTCTACAACACATAAGTTCTTATGAAATATTTTGATATAAACACTAGTAATTGATAGATTTGAGCTCTGATCTGTCTGATGTCAAAGTTTAAGCTTTTAATGTGTAGATATTAAAACCTTTTAGTTCATTGTCTTTTATGGTCTATCTAGTATCTAGTATATAATCATGAATTCCGAACTGATAACACAAATTGGGGGACCCATTTGTTTGATTGGGTCTGCCAGTGTTTGATTATATTGGCAGTTGAAATACTACAGATTTTATGGTCACCAGTAACAGTGTAGTTATATTTTGTTTCTGTTCCTTCCTCTGATACCAGGTGCTTTTAAAGCTAATGTTATGTATGTGGCCTTTTTTTTTTTTTTAATACTTTTTTGTTGTTGTTATTTCTATGTTATTAATAGCATTTGGCAGTTGGGTCCCATTCTAATATTGAAGAATGTGCTGCTTAAAATAATTGTAATTGGTTTGCTTTCAAATTAATGCCATTATTATTTAGCAAGTAGAGAAATACAGGAATGCTTAAGAATTTCCACACATATCTTATATTAATCCACTTGTTATGAGTATTAGAAAAATAAAATAACCCAGGCTGTTACTAGGGAATTTTCCTAAATCTTGATAGAAATCCAGAGCAAGACTCATTGCAAATATTTGTGGCCCTAGTCTGACCCATAATTTTGCCTTTAAGTAAAAGGTTTGACACATTTGAGTATTTATGTAGTATTTAACTTTAAGATATTTTAGAGTTCTGTGTCTACATGTAGACACTGGTGATTTATTTTCAAGGTTTGAGCATTATTAATTTTGGTTTGTTTCTTTTTCAGTCAAGTGCGTCTGCTCCTGATGTAGATGACCCAGAGGCATTCCCAGCTCTGGCTTAACTGGATGCCATAAGATAACCCTGGTTCCTTTGTGGACCCTACTTCTCTGAGGTTTTGCATGCTTAAGGATCCCAACCGTCTAAGAAATTAAAAAAAAAAAAAAAAAAAAAAAAGACTGTCATTCATACCATTCACACCTACAGACTGAATTTTATCTGTTTTGAAAATGAACTTCTCTCGCTACACAGAAGTAACAAATATGGTAGTCAGTTTTGTATTTAGAAATGTATTGGTAGCAGGGATGTTTTCATAATTTTCAGAGATTATGCATTACTTCATGGATATTTTGTATTGCTGCTTGCAAATATGCATTTCCAAACTTGAAATATAGGTGTGAACATGTGTACCAGTTTAAAGCTTTCACTTCATTTGTGTTTTTTAATTAAGGATTTAGATGTTCCCCCAGTTACAAACTAGTTTTAAATATTGGACATAATATCCGTTTTAGTACCTGCTTTGCATTTACACATATGGTCAACTGGGACATGTAAACTCTGATTGTCAAAATTTATGCTATGTGGAATACTAATGACTTTACGTAATTTAACTTAGTTTTAATATTTTTATTTCTGGGGGAAATCCTTTTTCACTTCTCATGATAGCTGTTATATGCTAACTCTTTATATATAGAAATATCAGACTTGAACAAATTCAAAGCACATTGGTTTATTAATCCTCCCTCCTGCAGAGTTCATTAAGTTCAATTTATAATTGATTGACAATTTCAACTATATTTGAAAGTGTGTGACTTTCCCATTTCGAAAACCAAACTAGACACCTTACAGTCTAATAGAAAGTTGTTTAAATGACTTATTGTTGAAAAACACATCCTGTCAGGTGAAATAGTTTTATGGGTGTTGGGCTTTTCCCCCTCCAACAGGGTGGTTATAGCAAAGTTGATTTGATTAATTCATATTATTTTAAACTGCTTCTGGCCACTCGGTATGATTTGTTTGTGAAAGGTCCCAGATCAAAATTATATACCCATAATCAATGATCCTTTATCCCTTCCCATTCTAAGGAAACCAAAGGGCCTGATTAGTATGGTAAGATGTGGGAGTGTGTTACTTTTTGGAATTTGGAAAGCAGACAGCTTTACTTTTCTAAGGTTGGAACAGCAGCACCACCCATGAAATATAAGCCAAAAATCTTATTGTTGCCTAATTTTCTATATTGCTGTTAGCTTTGGTCTTAAGTTGATAAATGACTGTTCCATAGAAAATAAGTATCTTTTACCTCATCCTACATTAGAAAAATAGGTTAATAACGGATTCCTGAATGGGAGTGTCAATGCACTTAGTAAACATGGAGAGAAAGATCAGTAAACAGGTTTTCTAGGATTTTAAAAAAAATCTTATGCCATATTTATTTTTAAGCAGAAAAAAATTTTATTTAGCTTTAAAAATTTTTGTCACTCATTTTCAGTAATTTTCTACCTATGTGTGGTAATGTCCAGTTTTTAAAATATTGAAAATCTTAAAATCATAAAATGTCTGCTGTTTGCTGATTAGTTCTCCCATATACTTCCAAAAGAGATGTACAGTACAAAAGTTATTCATTTGAATTAGGTTTTTTTAACCTAGTTACCTACTAGCTTGACATCTTATTAGAAAGGAGGTAATTTGTTTTTATTGATGAATAACTTGTGCTGGTGATTTGGATCTTATGCAGAGTGTGTTCTGTACTGGTGCTAATGTCTAATATAATTTTATATTTACCAACATAACTGCTACCCAGAGGCAAGTGTTAAATTAGTCCATATGGACTCTTGAACCCTCCTAAGTTAGTGTGTTTGGACTTACATCTTAACTCATTTCTGGTCTTGAAACCTGCTTATAATACACCTCTTGATTTCTAGCAACATATAGAAAACACCTGCTTTTAACACTTCACAAGTTCCACTCGCTGTCAGCCATTGCTGGCATTTTGTCATTAGAGAATACACAGCAATATCTGATATGTTGCAAGCTTTCACAATAGCCTGAACTTTAAGAAGTTGGTCCATTAGTTGTATCTGATGGATGTAAATTTGCCTCCTAGTTCACTATGTGTCAAGCTAAAACTGTGAACCTAACTTTCTTTTATTGGTGGGTAATGACTGAAAATAAAGATTTTATTTTCATGCTCACTTCTTAAAAGTCATAAAAACAATCAAATAGGAACCCATTTATCGTCATGTGTTTTCTGGCCTGTGTGTGCACCCCAAAGATAATGCTCATATTTCATTTTTTATTTTATGCTTAGATTTTGTCTATCTGGGAGGGATGCCTATTTTAATGAGTATTATAATTAGAATTTAATGAGTATTATAATTAGAAAGTTGAATTCTTAGAAAATTAATTTTAAGGACTAACTTTACAGTTGTCATTTCTCTTAGCATATCACATTTTGAATGCAAATGTTAGTTATATTGAGCATCACTGCTTTTTGAAGGGAGTATTAAACGGGATATAATACTCTAATAAAGCAGTGGTCTTGAGCCACTGTTTGCTGCTCTGTTGACTGAGTTTGCCAACCACTGCTCTAAAGAAATCCCTTAATGGATACAGATCCATAAATAATTGTTGTGGCTGTCTGAATGTTTTAGTGAACTTTCATGGATACTTTTAATTGTAAGTAATTCCAGAATTTATTTAAGATACTTTCAGTTTGCATTGAAATGATTGGAATATGATTTCTTTCTTAGTTTAAATACTGTTTTGAGACCTGTGTCGAGTTACGAAAGATCTTTAAATGTGTTACTTGGTAATTTACTTGTCTAATTACTTTACTCACTTTTAAAAGTGGAAGTAGGCCAGACACATCGTCTCCAGTGTTGTAAATATATTTGGGGCTTATTTTTGGTATGGGTTTGGAGGGAGTATATTAAGTACTCATTCTGAATGTGTTATTTTTCTAATTGCTAGTGATGATTGCACTGAAATAGAAAAAAATGCTATATTGCTAGGGAATTGGACTTAAAAAATAATCTCTAAGAGCACTAGCTTTGTATTGAAGGAGCCAACAAGTATTAAAGGTTAAAAATTAAGGAGTAATGTGAATCTGCTGGAACCTGACACTATGGACATCTATCACAACATTTAAGTAACTGGTATAACAAATCCTTGACTCTCAGGTGTATGTAATTCTATTTTTTAAAGTAAATAGAGGCTTAGAAAATAGATTCTAACCCAAACATTTGTACTTATGTTGAATTTAATATGTAAATAAGTGTTTTTGAGTCAATGTTATAAAAGCCAGATCTCCAAGTTAAGTGGGAAAAGCCTAGAAGTTGATTACCATTATACTTTTCAGAGTATATCTAGTGACAGTGCAGTAAAATGATCTCTAATCAAGCTTCAGGCCAAATTTAACAACATTTGCAAAATAGTCAGGTTTTATAGTTGAGATATAGATTGTCAGCTTTCAGAAATTTGGATTCAAGTACTTTTTGTTCAGCCTGGGTTTACCTTGGATATGTTCTCTCCATTTTAGACTCTTATGTGATTTTGAAGTTAGGAAGATATGAAGTTTATATGAGAAATGATTGGACTAAATCTGTTTCAGTCTGAGAGTATAGTGAAAGAAAGGTATCCTAAAGAATTAGGAGTTTAATTTCAGAAAGTAATTAGGGTATAAAGATAAATGACTAAGGCCATCAGGACTTTGGCTACAGGAAAAAGTAATAGTATGGAAGTGTCTTTTAATTATGTGCTACATCTAAGCCTGGGGTCTGCAGATTTTCAACGTGTGGCTTGTTTTGAAAGGGTTAGAAATAAAAATGTTCTACAAAGATGTATGTAGCCCACATAGTTGAAAATATCTGGTCCTTGCTAGCAAATGTTTGCTGAATCCTGATCTAAGCTATCACTCCTAGATAGTTCTTTTAACTAAAAGTATCATTTTTAGCTACAAATTAAATCATCCTAACGTGTGGGAAGTTGTGAAATCAGAAGTATTTTCAAGCAAAAATTTTTTTGCCTCTTCTATACTCAGGATAAGGGCCAAAATATCCGGTAGCCACTTAGTAAAGATCTTGTTATTTTAAGAAAAGATTACATAATTTTTACTTGAGATGAGACTTCTGAATGGGTAAGAAAATATGTCTTAATAGGTTGAGCTAGGACAGGAATGAATGACTTCTGAGAATTACTTTATTAGGATATTCATTTGGGCAGAGTTTTGGTTTTGTACCATTGATGATTTCTGTATTGAATAACTGGCAGTCAGTTGTTCACTTCTAAATGGAAGGAAAGAAAAGGTGAGAGCCTATACAAGTTAAAAATAATTTACCAAATTGAGGTGTTATGTAGGTACTTAGTGCTTTAAATCAGTAATCTTTGACCCTTTTGCTGCCCACTTGAGTGTGTGTGTCAATCCCTGGTGCATTTTATGTTTTTTCTAAGCTTTGTGCATTCAAGACAAAAATTACCTGGTGATAACGTTTATGAGAATTCTGATTATGGGTTTTTAAACCTATTTAGATAATGAATTTATATCAGGTAATGAGGATTGCTGTGACTGGATCTTGCTGTGGTTTTTATTCCTTGAACAGCTGCATTACTGGTATGGAAATGTAAACAATGGAGGATTAATATTCAGGATTATGATACCTGTTATTTGGTGAATTAAGTAGGAAGAAGGGAAAATAACTTCAGGTATTGTTTATATCACTAATTGCTGTTATAGTTGATTTAACAGACTTTAGGAACTTAAAAGACTTCTAATTGGGAGACATAGCATTTTTATATACCTAGAATGATGATTCTGTATAAAGTGATCCAGCTGAACTTGGTTCTTGATATTGGCCTGGAATTTTGCCAGATTGTATTAAATTTTATTAGCTAACCGTCAGAAATTTGGGGAACTTTGCATGTTGGAATTCCTTGTTTCACACCTTGGGTGTAATAATCCATGGTGAAATGTTGCTTTGTTTGGCAACCACACTCTGACAATAAGAGGCTAGCACATTTAGACATTTTGTGCTTAGACTGCTAGGACCTGTTTTGGAAATTGATGACTTAAACACATCAGGGAAGTTGGTAGATTCCCTTCTACCCCACTCCAATTTTATGCCTGAAAATGTTTAGGTTTTAATAATCGGTGAATTGAATTAAACACTGCAGATAACCTTTTCAAAGATAGGTGGTTTGTCTTCTCCCTAAAAATTCTGAATTTCCAATGAAGCTTTCTACTGTTTTTTTTTTGTTTTGTTTTTCTCTTCAGTAAAAAAGGAAGAACCTTTCCTATAAACTACAAATAATTTGGTTTCAACTTGGTCTTGTGTACACAAACCTTACATGTACAGGGCTTCACTCAGGTGGTATAGTTTGGAAGTTTATGAGGAGTGCTTGGGAAGACTGGATTGGATAAAGCT